CCGAAAAAATTACCGGCCGAAAAATTTTTCGGCTAATTTTTTTATAGGTGTCCCAGGAATAATGAAAACAGCTGTAAAACCTATAATACAGTAATAACCGTGGATTTAAGTGCTTATATGAGTGACCGAAGGGGAATACTTGTAAATTGATTAACCATCGTTCGCCTTATCTGATTCAGCAAGCAATGATCAAATATATGTGCATTGGTCATGAACCGATACATCATTTACGAATAAATCATCTAATGTTGCGGCTTTAAAAAAATCAAACTATGCACAGTATCTTAAAAAACAAAAAAATCAAACTATGCGTAGTATCTTAAAAAATTTATTAAAGATTTTTAAAAGCTCACATACTTATAATAATTGAGTTAATTTATATCAATTACTGTTATTAAAACATTTTAAAACATTTAAATGTAGAAAATGTATTTTATTGCCTTTTTTTAAATTAAACATATGTGTCAGCTAAAAAAAAAAAGAGATTGTTTCTGACAGGCTTTGCTTAGAAAATAAAATTTACTGGCGTCTATTGGGTTGTGCAAAATTACACGTAAAGTAAAATGATTTCGTCTAAATCCACTTTATGTAAGCTCTAAATAAAATTTTATTACTAACTGTTTAATTTGAATGGATACAAGGTCTTTAGCACATAGTAAAAGATCAGATTCAACCTTGGTCGATTCTTGTAAACTAAAGTTTTAGTGGATTTTTAATGTGCTTGGTTCATTTATCCCGTTTTACGCATACCTATCTATTTTCTAAATATATGTTTTTTAAGTTCTTTGGTGTATTTATTACGTAGTTAATTAAACCAGAATGGTGAATTAATTTCACCACTGTTGGTGAAATTGGTGAAATTTGGCGAAATTAATTATTCGTAAGTTTCTTTGTATAAAACCTTTTTTTCATTTTCTAGTATTGATATGTAGTATTGAAACGATGAATTTTTTTTTAAATTTCTGTATTATAATTTGATTTGTTAATTGTCACGAGTAGCTCTGTAAAAATTAACCAATCAAACAAACCTTCTGCTGTATTACTGTATTACAGCATTACATGTATATCAGTATCATAAAAAATGTTAACGCGAATATTCACGGGAGCTTAATTTTACTCTGGACAAAGCTTTTATAGTAAAATTTGTAGAAACAATATTAGTTTATTTGCTTCGGACCTTTGGTAGTTTTTGCTTTTCTAGTTATGAGTACCGCACAAGGGTCTATTTATGGTTTTGCTTGTGGTTCAACCGAATTAAGCAAGATCCAAAAGATATATCTGTTCGTGACGGCGAGCTGCGTCTACGCGACAGTCGTTATTTTTCAGATAGGATATTCTTCACTTCAAAGTCAAGGTATACGCATTAAAATGTTATTTATTTTTTTTTCTTTTATCGACGATTACTCACGCGTTCATCTTTGACAAACTCTTGTCTAGCTGATAGGTGTTCCCAGGATACTTCCACTATTCAATTTTTTATTAATACAATTTACGCTTTTATTAAAATATATGTCGTGGGTCTTATACCAATAATTGCTATTCGAAAGGCACTTATACAAGAGTCAGGTTTCCTATTATGGATTTGTAATTTCTTCCTCCTCCAACTGTTTCCATATTCTAATGTTGTCAAATCCGATTTATATAGTCCGCATAGATACAGCTCCAAGCTTAGCAGAAGATTTAAAATTATTATTTAGCAAGAAACGCGCTTATATCATTCCTTTGGTTTACATTATTTCTGCCGTATCCATAGGGTCTACTTTTTTTGATATCATTGATAGGGATCGTGGAATAAAAAAAACTCTACTTTTGCATCCTGGTGATAAAAAGTAAATTTCTTGGTAAATACTTAAATATTGACTTTTATGCTAAATAAATTAAATTATTTTCATTATTTTATTGTTCAGTTTTTGGTGTCCAATTCATCGTAAAGATAATTGTAAAAGCCTCCTCCCAACAATAAACGAGCATTACCTGATCGAGTTAATCCACAACATTACCTTAGGTATTGTGTGTGGATTTGACTTCCTGATATATAAAAGACATAAACTAACATTCAATATCGTTGAGGTAATTTGACATGGGGGTCCCGTAAGAATGAATTGTTTCTATTCTTTTATTTGCAAGTTAGAACTAGGAAGAATACTGACAAATCCTTTTGTTTTTTTTTAAATAGCCAAAAAATATGCTCGCTTTACATAGAGAATTCCTAGCTTTATGGAATCGAAAAAAACATATACTAATCTGGAATGTGGTTGTGACTGCGCTGCAATTTGGAGGGCATTTTTGGATTGCAAAATTGTTTTTATGGAATACTTTTTATCAATGGCTACCAAA